GTGTGTGGATTAAACCTGTATTGATTTGTCCAACATTCAATGCTTGCATGCTGATTTTAGTGTTTGTTGACGGTGATGGGCACAACGGTAATGATAATGACCACAAGGTAATGATAATGACCACTGACAAGCAATCCCAATTTGACACAAAACAAACCTCGGTACCACCCAAACCAAAACAGTTAACTCAAACTGGTTACCTGATAATTAAGAGCACCTGACAAGCAAGCCCACGCATCGGCGCGTGCCAGAGACCCGCAAAAACCGTGCCCCTGCCGTTTTTCGGCATTCTCGGGTAAGGCAGATTTGACACGGCACAGGCATCAGGCATCAGGTCATCAGCGCAAGACCTCAGGGTAATCAAGTTAAGGTGATTCATTGCACCTTGGATTTTGCTCGACATGGGTATGCAGTGCATTAATGGTAATGCCTATCTTGCTGTGAAACTCAGGTGTTATTGGATGTGGCAATTGAGTGTCAGGAGGGAGCCGCAATGCATGTGAGGCCGAATCGATGGGCAAAAGTGGTGGTAGTACCTAATGCAGGCCACAGATGGGCTGTTGTGTATCAAGGTGAGGTAGGCTTTTTTCTGGTATAACTCTCCTAGGCAATCGGGCAACATTCATAAGCAAATTGTGGTCTGGTTTTTATAGAACATGGCTGTCTCATATATCTCTTGCATCTACCTCAACTATTTTCATCTCCCGTTTTAGACTTATCTGTGTACCGATTTGAAACACAAAAAATCGTTTGACTCACTCGGTAGTCACATTGATTTTCTCCAACTTACATCAATTCCTTTTACGACAGCCGATAATCTCATTCCTGATTCACATTCAATTTTTCAACGAAAGATTTGATTTATTAGTGACCCACCCGAAAAGGATGTGTCCAGGAATCATGAACCGACGCATCTTGATTCAAACACAGATCCGCTGTCAAGAACACCCATAAGCTGAAACGTCTGGTTGAAAACTAGAACACTGATCCTCATCTGCCTGTCCCCTTTCACGCATTTACATTGTCATTCAGACTGTAACGCTGCTGCTCCCAGCTGGCTGCTGCCCAGAGCGACACCGAACGCAACGTTGGCATTCACGTGTGCCATTCGAACCATCTTGCGGTATTGCGGCACGGTGCGGCAGTTAGGAATGTACAACTGCAGTAGCAATCAAGTCCCCTCGCGTCACAGTGCGCACTATTTTTCGGAGATCAGTTCCTAAATGTTATGCTGTAACGCACCATAGAGCTGCTGTGTGGAACAGTCCTGATCTCGGCGCGTGCCCTCGGCAGCAGGCAGGTCAGACGGACTGGGTCATTGATGGTCGGCTCATTCGTTCGGCGGTGTGGCAGTAAAGCTTTATCGGAATCGAGGTGAGGGGAAGAGGCTGCTCTGCTGTCGGTTCTGTGCGCGTATCAGGCGAGTGAGTGTCAGGCATCCATTACTTGGCCCCAAGGCGGAAAGACATGACAAAAAAGCGATCGGTTGCGGTATTTGATTTGTTATAAAGACAAGACATTGTATCCTAAGTTTTTGATCGGATTTGTTCATTGATGACGCGCAAACGCTAAGTGGTGCTTGTTGCGTGAGCTCCCGCGCAATTATTCCATGGAAGAACTCCGTGTGAGCGGTGTAATTTCACGGCAGAAACTTATGTACCGCAAACCTTGCACTGGCCACCGTATCCTGCGGGTAAGACCTTCTGACGTCATCAGACCTAAACGGTACCCGCTGCTGCCGGCCGCATCCCATGCTATCCAGGGACAAATAACGAGTGCACAAAGCGCCTGCGACCGTCCCGCCACAAACGTGTTATTAAGAATGCAGGTGGTCTAACCAACTGAGCCATTGGGAAGAACTGTGGCACGGGAGGTCGCTGTCAGTTCTTTTGCGGGCAAGGCTGGGGGGAAACTTCGGTGCATTAAGAACAACAAAACTACATACTTAAAATGAAGAACAGGAGCATTAGAACGTCCGCTTATCCATTTTTATGTTTCACATTGTGTCTGACTGCCACACGGAATGCGTAATTAGAGGACGAGACAGAGATCCTTGCATGCACTGTTTGTTTTAAAAACACCTCGCTAACGTTGAAGTTCCGCACTGGCACGGTCAGTCATGTATTTTAGTTGGCTGGTGTGAAATATTCAAATATATTCACGTCATAGACCCAGTGAAAAACGCACATCAGTGAAGTTTCTCGAGGCCACATAGTTTAGACCAATGCGTCGCTCCTCGCTAAACCTGGTCCAATATATCCAAAAAATATGGGTGTGGAGGTCTAAATGGTGACACGATATTAGTGCTTTGGTAAAAACTCCTACCGACTGGAGGCGTACACTTCGATATGTGTACTACAAAAACTTTTTCTTAAACTTAACAAAACGTTAAACTTAACAGCCAAATTTCTGTTGCAAAAACTTATGTCTATTATGACCTATCCAGGAAAGACTTCTACAGCCTTGACTTAAAAGCGACATTTTTTCTACTGGAAAACTCATACCCGAAATGAGTATTACACGACAAATTTCAACTGAAAAATCATGTACTGGTCATTACTTTTATGGTGAAGACTTGACCACAACTATTCGCGGTAGTACTTATGTCGCGCAGAAGTATTTGCAGTAGAAGTGATTCCGTGTATAGGCAATGGCTGAATAAGTTTTTGCAGTAGAGGTAATGACGGGAATAGGCTTTTGAAGCATAGAACTTATCGTGTTTGTGGTCGTGTGTATGATGTGTTTAAGTCTTTTCAGTAGAAATAAAGTCACGTATGATTAAAGACGGTGTGTTTTGTGCGGAGGAAGCAATGACGAGCACACACTTTTGAGCCAAAAATTTTGTCGTGTAGCACTTATGTTGCGTATGAAATTTTGCAGCAGAAGTAATGACGTGTATAAATAGTGACTGCAAAGTGTTTGCAACAGAAGTGATAACGACCATAAGTTTGTGCAGTTTCAGTTTTGTCTCGTAGCACTGATGTCGTGTATAAGTATTGGCAGAAAAGGTAGCGTCGTAGCACTCCTGTCGGTAGGAGCCTGTTGTTTTAACAAAAATGCCGTGTAACCGGTCTAATTATTCTTGCTTACTAGAAGTCAGACACAGGCATCGACACAAACATGGCCAACGTGCTTTTGCTAAGCTTTATTGTTTTCAATTCTAAACATATTGTCTTGTTGTTCCAGAAGTGCTACAATCTGACTTTTTCCTTCCCTTCCATTTCGTGTTCTGCCCCAGTAACCCGATGGTTTGGGCACCTGTACTCCGATTTAGTTTTTGGTGGCGGCAGGATTTGACTCGCTTTATGCGCTCTTATTTGGCTATGGCTGACATGGGCTGCGGCCGGCAGCATGGGATATGGTAAGAGTCCGTTGCCATTGGAGAGTCTTACCCTTAGGATAAGACGTACAGTGCCAAGCGTTGCGCCGCGTTGAACTTTTGCCGCATATTTCTACCATTGACTCGGAACTCCACGATTCCGGTTTCAGGGTTCACGCAACAAATACCACTTAGTGTGAGTTCTGATCGCAGAAAATCATCCAATGGAAACGCTCGGACCAAAGATATAAAAAATCAAAAGCGGCAACCGATCTCTTCCTTTTTATCCAGCATATCTTGCCGAATTAAGACCAAATGGCGACTTATGTCAATCTCCACACGCCCGCCGGGCTGACAGAATCCAGCACCCATCAGCCGACCACGTTCACTTCGATTCCGGTCGCCCTCAACTTCCGCGCCGTCGAACGAATAAGCCAGCCATCACGTATAAAGTCACGTATAATTAATGACGGTGTATTTTGTGCGGAAGAAGCAATGACGAGCACACATTTTTGAGCCAAAGGTTTTGTCGTGTAGCACTTATGTTGCGCATAAAATTTTGCAGCAGAAGTAATGACGTGTATAAATGACTGCAAAGTGTTTGTCGCTCCGTCGCTGTCGCTGCAATCCGTCGCTCTGGCCTGTCTGCAGTCGAGGACACGAGTCGGTATCAGGACTGTGCCGCTCAACAGCGTTGTGCTGCGTTATACCCTAAAGCTACAAGATTGAATGAGAAACTACGTGCACTGGCGCGCGAGGGACTTTTTTGTTGCTGAAATCGTGAGTCTCGGGGGAGCGCGCGGGGAACCCCGACCGCTGCCTGGGACGTTTCTGCTGACTGCACGAACTTGCCCGGGGTCATGCATAATCTATTGCAAAGGGAGGAAGAGACGAGGGGCCTGACCAAAACCGCTCAGCTGCTGGCTGGGAGCCTCCGAGGCTGCAGCGTGCTGTTCACTTGCACGGCGCCGTCGACCGCGAGACCCTGCGAGCTGCAAAGGTCAGCACGCCGCCGTATTGCGCCAACAGCGGGGACCTAGTGCGGTGAAGCGAAGTCCGGTGCGGGCGCCACGCGTCGGTCATTCGAGCGCGCGCCGAGATCGCCGCGACAGTGCCGCGCGGGTCGCGTCAGCGCCAGTGGACACTGGACCGGCACCAGCTACCTCTGTCCCGGGACAGTTCCGTGGCACGGCGCTGGCGCTGGGCTGGGGCAGGTGTATGTGCGGCTTCAATACATGGACGGTTTGACGTGGACACCAGCAACAAGAAGAGTCAAGGAAAGCAGCGAGGAAAAACTGAACTGCAAGGAATCAAAGTTGCGCGGCAAGACAGCAGTAAGGCTGAGAAACAGCAGCGGAGCACAATCGTGAGGAAAGGCAAGTCAGCAGCAAAGCCAATAAAATGGGGCTGATAAACAGCAAGACGTGACCGACGGCAGCCACAAGCGAAACCGAAAGATAGCTAAGCAAGGCGCACAAACAGCGAAGCACATCGGTGGACACGGATGCTGAACAAAGCCAACTCCTTGTAGCAAAGGCAGCTCCGGATGGTAGCTAATCGAGACACAAAAGCGGCGAAGAACATCATTGAACACGGATGGTGAACAGGAGCACTCCTTGTCGGAGAACGAAACAATCTGCTGAATTTCGAGCGAAGTGGTAACGTGGCAGGTGGGTCCAGAATGTCAACCGTCAGACCTCGCGATCAGTGGAGCTCGCAGTGCGACTTTATCGTTAGCTGCATCGGCTACTCGGTGGGCCTGGGCAATATCTGGCGCTTCCCTTACATGTGCTACAAGCACGGTGGCGGCACGTTCCTCCTGCCGTACACCGTTATGCTCCTGGCGGTGGGCGTACCCATGTACGTGATGGAGCTGGCGCTGGGTCAGTACGCAGGCCTCGGCCCCAACAAGGTCTGCCAGAAGATGTCGCCGCTGTTCTCGGGCCTCGGCTACGCCATGTTGCTGATGACAGTCTTCGTCTGCTTCACATATAACGTCGTGATCGCCTGGGCCATCTTCTACGCGGCGGCGTCCTTCACGTCCGAGCTCGCGTGGTCACGGTGCGGGCACGACTACAACACTAAGGACTGCTTCACGACGGCTGACGACGCCCACTGTTTGAAGAGTAATGGCGGAGTCAGTGTATTCTGGAACAACACCTGTTACTCGGCAGACGAGCTCTGCCCCCAGTACGGGTTCTCGGTGTATAACACGACGCACTGTGCCATTAACAGCGGTGACAAAACGGTGGTAGTCGACATGTTTCGTCACGTGGGACATCGAGTGCTGGCCAGCGAGGAGTATTACATTAGCAATGTTCTCGGTGTGACAAACCATGGTTGGCATACTTTTGGAAGCCCAAAGTGGGACCTTTCGTTATGCTTCCTACTTGCGTGGCTCTTGTTGGGCGTTTGCGTTTTCAGGGGCATTAGGACGCTGGGCAAAATAATTCACTTCACGGTCATTTTCCCCTATTTTGTTCTGATCGTGCTGTTCGTACTCACCGCCTTCTTGGACGGGGCCGTAGAAGGCATCAGGTTCTTCGTTACCCCGGATTATCACCAGGTGTTGAGCGTCAGCGTGTGGTTAGACGCCGCATCGCAGGTTTTCTTCTCCCTCGGCTGCAGCATGGGCGGACTCATCACCCTGGCCAGTTTCAATCGATTCAAAAACAACTGCATGCGAGACGCCATCGTGGTGGGAGTTGTCAACACCTTGACATCCGTGCTTTTTGGTCTCATAGTGTTCTCGATGCTGGGTTTTATGGCCTCGCAAGTCAACAAGGACGTTGCGGAGGTACTTAAAACAGATCTGGGGCTGGCCTTCATCGTCTATCCCGAGACGCTGTCCCATACCTCGGTTGCACCCCTCTGGAGCGCCCTCTTCTTCTCCATGGTGATCACGCTTGGCCTCGATTCACAAATCCCCATGGTGGAGACGCTGACCACCGCTGTGTCTGACGAATGGCCACGCGTTGGTGAGCGGAAGGCGGCTGTGGTAGTGGTGACCTGTGCAGTGTTCTTCGCCGCCGGCCTGAGCATGTGCTTTAACGGCGGCGTGCTGGTGTTCGCGCTGGTCGACCATTACTCCGTCTCCTACTCGCTGTTCGCCATCGCGCTGGTGGAGGTGCTGGTCGCGGCTTGGGTATTTGGCGCGGAGCGTCTGCTGGAGCTGATGCAGAAGGACATGGGCATCACGATTCCGACACCATTGCGCCTCTACTGGCTGGTCGCATGGAAGTACCTCATACCACTGGTGCTGGCCTGTGTGCTAGTGCTCGCTCTGTTGCATCACGATCCCGTGTCGTACCGCGCCGTTGACGGCTTGCACCCCTTCCCAGCGTGGGCCGACCACATCGGACTGGCGCTGGCCGCTTCCCCGGTGCTCCTCCTCGTCGCTGTCGGCGTCGGCGTAGCCGGCGTCCAACTGTGGCGAGGGGACCCGCTGGCGACACTTCTGTGCCCCACGGCCGACTGGGGGACGGCGACGCCGGTCAACCGCGGTGTCGTTAACGAGGGCTTCGAGCGCACTGGCCAACCGATGTGCTAACTTGCCCTTCAGTCAATCCGGGCTTCGGTTGGCGGCGCCACTTTAGTGATGTCAGGTGTGCCTCTGAGCTGGATGTGTAATCCCTCCGGAGAGACTCTCCGGTCGAGGACGAAATTCATGTCAGTTTTATCATCAGATGGCGTTTGGTGACATGACGCAGTTTGCATGAAACGCAAGAGCATTCACGGACGAATAGGGAATGAAAGGGTCGGCCATGAATTCCATAACGCATAGGAGGGGAGGCGGAATTTGAAGGAGCCTAACGAAGGCGTGACGAGAGAGGAGAGGTCTTGAACAGCGTCGCGATACGCTCAGGCGTCGTTGCAAATCATGCTCAAATCTTAAAATAAGCGTTGAAATCCTCATGCCGGACGCATGTCGCTTTTTAAGGCCATATGGCGCACGTCCGTTATCGGTTTCGCGTCTCTCGCTCAGTTTAGGGTCACTCAGACAGGCCTCTCTTGAGACGCTAGGTCCAACGAAAAGCATAATTTACAGACGGCCTCAACGCGTTCTTTACTTATGTACGGTCTCTACACATATTTGGACATTGATGGGCGTCGTTTGTAGGCCAACAGCCGACATGACGTGTGAACAGTGACTTGTGGTTTATTGACCCTATATGACAAGAGGGTCTCTTGTTTAGAGCTGTATTATTTTCGAAGTTGTTGCATTTTTCGGTGTTGCATATTCCCAAAGATACTGCATTCTTCGGCAATGTCTTTTCGAAGATATTGCTTTCTCCGATGTTACATTCGTTGACACTGTATCATTTCCATGGTGTTGCATTTGTTCCTTGGTTTCGAGTTTGTATTGTTTTGTTCGGTGTTGAATAGATTTGTTAAAAATATATGCTTACATTTACTTGGTTCTTAGAGGCCGGCAGTGAACCGCGTCCTGGAATACTGCCATAGCTTTTGCACCCTAGATGATATATTGTTAGAGATTGAATGTAATTCAACTTTGTTCCTAGCTTAAATAGATCGAAAATTTGCATACTTTTCGTAGTAATTCCTAACATTTTTTGCCGTAAGTAGGTCACAAGGGACACTTCGAGAACCTCATGAAATCGCGGGCCACTGCCTTTTACTGACCTGGGAAATGGACCCTTAGGCCACGGGTGTAGCTCTATAAAATCGGTCGGGGAGGAGGAGGGGGGAGGGGGGGGGGGGGCACTGAGCCGATATAGTTAAGCTGGCCTACCGCGAAATCCTGATTTCTCCCCACATTTTAGCCAGCCTAATTGCCTTTCCGTTGTCAACGTAGAAAAATACTCTATTCTAAACATATTTGATGCTTGTTTATTTGTTTATCTAAGTCGTGATCAGTCCAACGATGAAAGCCCAATTATGAAAGAAGCTCAGTTTTAACACAATAAATGCACGATACGCACAAAACCTATAAACCGAACCACACACACATGCACATAACACACAGTGACACATGCACCTCACAAATTAAGACACAACAGTCATCGAAAGAACGGTCCAAGAGTGCCGCCAAACCTTAACAAATCAGACCGGAATAATTTTGTTGTTTGAAAAGAGTAGGAATTAGGGACAATGCTGAAGAAAACAATTGCAGGAAATGGGTAGAGATGTGATAAATCCATTTTTACCATTGTCGCCCGCTGTAAATGGCTTGTGGAAAGAGCTGGTGTGCCGAAAGCGCCGGGCGGATGGGTCCAGACCGAACAGTGACATCAGGCGAGCGCAGTTAAGCTTCTGACGACATGCGCTACATCAAAAACTCTGAGTGAGCGGGGCGAGCCTTGATAGGTAATGTTTCAAACCGCGTCCCGCCGGGAGAAGTTGACTTCCCACGGGGTTTTTGAGCAAAGCTCAAAAGAAAGCTCGCAGCGACCCCAAATTTACAGCATCTGTTTATCTATAAATTTTTAATGCTATGTGCAAACTTGAGATCTTTATCTGCCAAGGTCGGAAACATAGTTTAGGTCAAAGAGGTCAGCTTCTAAAAAACCTCGACCACACAAAACTTTTTGTGCCCTATTTGTAACTGCTCAAACTTGTTATAGCAAAATAATATCAGAACAGCTACAGTCGCTATCTTTCAGATTTAAGATAAAAAACGGGCGACTCAGTGGCCTGAGATCACTGAACTTATAGCAAAGTCAACTTTTGCTTTTTCGTAAATAATCCAAATGTGTGTGTATTTTTTAGTAGTTTTTCTGTTAATACGTCAGAAAAAGAGTGCTATCACATGTGCAGCCATTATGTGACCACATTGCGCATGACATTGGCGTACGTCATGACCTACCTTTATAGGTGCCTTCTGCAAAACACATGCTGAATTCAAAATAGCCAGCCCTATTGGGTAATTTTGGGCGCAGAATTCGAATTTTCTGCTGCAAGCATGTTGCGATATTACTTAATGAGGCCACAATAAGGCACGTGAGAACTTATAGTGTCAGATGAGGTCATCCAAGGTCAGTGACCTATGTTGTTAGTTGCGGAGGGGCTAGATGAGCGAGTGTGACACGTATAACCAAATTCATGCGGTGGTTGTGAAGCTGATGCCGCATAATTTCATGTACCAACGTGCCTCTTCTGTTTGTTGCAAATGAATTGCCAAGCGTCGAAAGAGCTATGTATAATGTGTGTAAAAGTTATGCAGTCTTGAGTACCTCTAGATGTACCGCACTATTTCTGACCACAGAAATGCGCTGTACTCGTCATTTATGCCCAGTTGGCACTTATTTTTTATTTAAATTACTTATCAGTTTGACCCAAGTTAACCTTAGGTTGCTTCTATGTCAGTCTAAAATGGAATTTTTCTGCCTGCGATGCTTCTTTCTAATTAATTAAGTACGCTTAGTAAGAAACACATCGTGAAAAAGACAAGTGTCAATCTTGTAGGACAGTGGTAGACCAATTTTGAACGGTGACATGGCCCGACTATTGTTGGGGTACAAAAATTATCAGAATGGACTCCCCACAGTCTCACAGCTTACTTCTGTGCCGCAAATAGATATAAAGTGTCATGTGCCGTCTCGACTCGTTAACGTACGTTTTAAATGCACATATCAGAAAGACCGTCTGTACCTTTCATAACCTCTGGTAACCTCACATTTTACCTAAAAATTAAAATGTGGTGTGCGTTCTTCATGATTTGACTTAACATTAACAACCATATCTTCACATCAACTTCCCATTCGTAGCAGACGTAAAGCTGCGTATTCGTAAAAAGCTTAAAATGGAGTGCATTTAAACTAAAATCGTACTAAATCGACTTGGCTGAAACACGCAAACACGAGCGTCGTTTTTGAGTAATCAATTGTTGCCCACAGGCGCAAAACATAGTATTATGTAGATTATCATGACCGAGCATGTAAGGAAAAGAAGCTATATCAATTCGTTTACACTCCCAGAATGCATTTTCTAGAAAATAAAGACATGTTGCATCACTCTCTCAGCGGACATGTGGATAATTGGAAAGACATAGAAGGTAAAGGCTACGGGCGTCAGAGTGACCGTTTGAAAACGTGGGCGACCAGCGCTTTGACACGTGTTCGAAGTGATGCATGGAGGAAAGGCCTAGAACTCTTGGTATTTCGGCGCGATGAGTTGGATGGGTTCATGATGACAGTGATCGACCTTCAGGGCACCAGGAGGTTGTGGTTAAACGCCGTCACCAATACAACATTGCTCATGTTAAGAAAACTTGACGTTTGAAAGATGTGCATGTGGTCAGATGTCTTCGGAAAATCGATCAGCATCACTCCCATTTTCTCTCTCTAGGGCACACCGCACTTAATGTTATGATTCCATTGTTTCCACCCTACGGCCCGTGGCAGTAACCGCACGGACGGTCAGTCGACACCAGAGAGCAGGTAAAGCAGTTCTTACGTCATAAATGCGGCGAGCGTTATGTGTATCCGATGATCCCTGGTGATATGAACGTAATGATTCTAAAATATCCCTGAATCTGAACGCGAACCGACGCCTGGAACACTGAGCGAGGTCTTCCGAATGTATCGTAAAATCTGGGTTTAACAACACGAGCATTAGGTTTGCAAACAAGCTGTAGATGGATGAAAGAAACAGATTTGCTGTATGTGAACCTATTGCTTGGGCAGGGTGGACAAAATAACAGACAACCCACGTTTTACTGAACAGCGACAGTGCGTATCTCCCGCAGAACGAAAACGGGGAGGGGCATTCGAACGGACATTCAACGACAACATATTATTAAAGCAAAGGGCTCAATCAATGTTTCACATTCAACAAATCGGGACACTACAGAAGGTGCTTTTGAAGACAACGAAAAGGATCCTAAGGTTCACTGACTCAGCGCGCTACGTCACTTCCGCTCTGATGCCCTTCTGGGTGCCCTCCTCAGCAGCTTTAGGGCATTGTCAGGGACGGGAGGTGGCTGCAGACAGAACCTCCGAGACGGAGCGACATTGTGCGCGGCACGGGGATCACTGGTTTGGTTAGCTGAACATTTCCCTGGAATGCACATCAGCTTGAGACCGCTGAAGTTCATGCCGTACAATGATTTCGCACTCGCCCTACCCGTGGCCACTGGCCTTCATGCTGTGGGGAAAACTTTAGGAACCACGTCCACGTGGATAAGCCAGGGAACCTTCAAGAGTCTGTGGCCGCCTTCAGACTTAAAGAAGAACGCCTCACCGTCGGCAACATCGACAGGAAAACTGAGAACCTACGGCAGGTTCAGCTGTTGTGCGTGCTGGACCACCAGGGGGCCATCTGGAGCATCTTTTGTAGTCACTGTTTGGCGGATGTGGAGCTCCACTGACAATGTTGCTTGTCGAGCGCTGTCATTGAATTGACAAATGTTTCTGCTGTCGCGATTGTGCGGCAAATGCATTTGGAATGGTTAAGGAAAACATTAATCATCTTTTAACTGAGGCCGTCCAGTGCTCTAAAAGCGCTGAATAGTGCAATTCATTTTGTACCCTGGTACCCCTGTGCGATCTCATAAGAGCCTTTACAATTTTGTAGACCGACCCTAAAGTG